CATGCTTAGCAATCAGAAAGCTTTCTCTGCTATTGAAAGACTACAGAGTAATTCTGGGGACAGATATGGCACTGTCCTAAAGCCTGTTAACAGTGAGTACACTCTCCAAGCCCAAACTATGGAGTATAAGACGGAAGACAGAAAATTACAGCAGAAATCGGGTTCTTTTGTCTTCATATTGAAGACAGCTGAGTGCAGACAACATAGTGAAAAGGACTCTGAAAGGAGGCTTGTTTCCTTTTTGCCAAATATTAGCTCCTTATTATTCTGCGCCTCAGTGTCCTAATCTGTAAAATCAAACGGTTAGACTAAATGTGCACAGTCCAATAAGGTAGCCACTAGCTACATGTGACTATGGAGCACTTGAAATGTGGCTAGTCTGAACTGAGACGTGCCGTGAGAGTAAAACACACACCCAATTTAAAAGACAATACAAAAAAAGAACGTAAAATATCTCACTACCAACTTTCATATGAATTACATGTTAAAATACTATTTTAGATATATTAAAATATATCTTTTGAAATTAATTTCATCTGTTCCTTTTGAGTTTTTTAACATGGCAACTGGAAATTTCACTTTCTATCTAAATTTAAAATCTCTCTCTTTTTCTCAGTGCTGGGCTAGATGATTTCTAACCTCTCTCTTACAGCTTTAACATTCTATGTTTCATTTTGTGCTTCTCAGTGATCTTTCCACAGCAAGTTAGCAGCGGAATAGGGTTTAAATCTTTACAGAGACTCAATTTCCTTTTCTGTAAAATGGGGATAATGCCACCTTTGATGTGAGATGCAATGGGAAAGTGATTTGAAATTAATAAAGTGCTATATAAATTATTACAGTGATCACACTACAGTATTACTTCCAGCAACCTGGAATGGCAGGTGTAAAGAAAGGGTAAAGTGGGAAGAGTGTTGCTTCTCCCAAAGGCAGAGAACATCAGCCTAACCTTAAGTTACCAAGCTTAGAGGCACGAATAAAGCCTGAGAGAATCAGAACTGAAACCCTCGAGAGCAAGAGAGATGCAGCACCGTCACACAGAACCAAGAGAAGAACCAAGATAGAAACACTGCCTGCTTTGGGTGTGAAAAGCACGTTGGGCCCCAAAACCCAAGGCACTTTATACTTCACAGGAGACAAGACGGTGTTTTTTTGACCTAGTAAAAGCTAGAAAGGAAAAAAGAAAATTAGCAACATTTTTACAAAGTAGTAGCTATTGTTTCATTATTATTATTTTTTAGCTCTCCCAACAACTATTAGAGGTAAGCCGAATACTCACATTTTTACAGATTAAAAAAAGCCTAAAAACGGAAATAACTTGCCTTGACTCATGCATCTGGTAACCACTGAAGATGGAATTCACACCCACGTCTCCCTACCTGATTAATTCTTCCCAGCAGGAAAAAGGGGAGAAAATATGGGGGAGATTTAGGATTTCTATTCTTTTAGGGGCACAGCTTAAGGTCCCCTTCTGAAGTAGTCCTGGAATCTGGGGTCCACTTAAAATTGGGAAAATAGAAGCGATACCACAGCGACCCACCCACTGTCAAAATCCAATAAGATAATTGTGTCTGGATCTATAAATAGGTAGGTTGGGTTTAAAAAGAATGTAAGGGTTGTGTGCTACAAATGCTGGGAAAGGACTAGATCCCAGTGTGGGGAGAGGGGAACCTGTCATAACTGAACGCTCACAAGAAAACCAAGGAGGAGCCTTTATCATCAGCGAGGCAAGTGGGGTGGCAGGGGGCGGGGGGGGGGTGTCGGAGACTGGTGGGGAAGAGGGGGGTCCTCAAGGGACAGAATTCAAAGCCCGAGAAGGAAGAAGCCCTGACATCCGGCTGGCCACCTATAGCCATTGATCCTGTACTGTTTTCCAACTTACTGGGTGGAGGCACCACGCCAATTCCAGCAAGGTCATTCCCTTTCGTTCCCCCGACCAGGCTTTACTCTGCCCACAAGCCTCCGCCACCAGCTCCACCACCTTCACACTCTGCTCAGACACTGCTCATCCTCAAAAGCAATGAGAAACAACAATCACAACCATGGCCTCAACTTCTCCTTTCCTTTCTCAACTGACCGTCAGCTTTGCAGACCCTTGAGAATTACATGGCCAGCCAGGGACAATCATCATTTTGGACAGTCAGGCCACTAGGCAAACTGGAAACAATGGAAGCTGCTTTATGAATTCCTATAAACTCAACTGAGAAGGCTGGCATGGAAGTTTACAAGATTAAGTGTTTCTATCCCCTTTCCTAGGACACACATTGGGACGAGCTGGAAAAGCCTCATCTAGACTCTCATACTAAACCCAGGAGCCCTGAGAGACTCTCGTAGGCCAGGACTCCCCACCGCCCTCGCTCAGAACCAGAGACTCAGAATTCAACTTGGATTGAACAAAGACCCTCCTCCTCATCTCCCTCTGGCTCCCCAACCCCCACCCCCTTCATCTGCCTTCCCCGCAGCCACATTAACTACTCAGAAACACAGCCACTCCACTCTAGAGTTACTCAGGAATCACATTCTTAGAATAACTCATCAATTATACCTGTCAACTTGCCAAAAGTGCCACAGGGGAGGTGGAAAGTCTAGACTGCATCTAACTGCAGCAGCACAGCACCCCTGTTCGCAGAGGGCCCCCACTTTGCTAATGGCCTCTACAAGCTCACAAGAAACAAGAATCCAAGAAAATGCAGGAGCGCCAGGTTTGGAATGTAGACACTAGCACCAAGGTACTCTCAGGCCCAGGGCAGGGCAGGGATCTCGCCGCTTCTCTCCTTGTAGACTAGGAAAACCTGCACCAGTCTGCTAACAGGATGTTCCGCCACAAAAAGCCTGGATTAGGAAATGTTGAAAAGACATGTCATTGTATTGCTCAAATATGCACACAAACTCATTGTCAATAATCGTGCTGCCAAGAAAGCAGCACCATGACAGACATACTTTTTAATTAATTGGCAAGGATCATTAGTAATTAAAACATTTATTGTATGCAAATGCTGCTGCTAAATCTTTGGAAAGTTTATTCTCCAAAGCAGGATAAATATCCCCATGAACACCATGTACGCTACTAATAGAGTAAGAAAGTCCCACTCTTTGTTAACCTGTAAAAAGGTAAGCTTTCATTCAGCTTAGCCTGAAGTGACTCCGAACCCAAGTTATCTAGGATCCTAATTAATAAAGTTGTCCCTTGATTCCAAAACTCTGTGAACAGAACTATTCTGTAAAAATACTAGAAATGTGCTGTATTTCCACAAGAAGGCACACAACTATTTACTCAGCTGATCTCAGGAAGGTTATCTTAATCACTCTGTGCCTCAGTTTCCTCACTTGTCAAATTGATGAGGATTTTTAGGCTGGTTACTTTTAAAACTGCAGACGAGAAGCAGGCTCCGAGGAGCAGAGTTTGCTTGCCCTTTGCTGGGATACATTTACATTTGTAAGGGAAACCTCCATCTGTAAAGATGCCTCCCTCTCTGTGCCAGGAAGAAGGGAGATGACCTTATCTCCAGAAACTCTTAATGGGGAAGGCAAGGACTTAAGTTGGTTACTGTCTGGCAACCTCATGTAACTGATTTAGGGTGGTGGCTTCTGGCCTTTACTTAATCTGATTTGATTATTATCTAAAAGTTGTGGGACCACCCAATGGCCAGACCCCACCTGCACTGATATCATTTTTAACTTTTTTACATGTTCTTTCCTTTGTCTTGTAAAGAGATGGCTCACATACCTATGCCTTAAATTTAGCCTTACTCTCCACCCATGTTTGCAGCAGCAGTAGCGGGGGCCGCAGCAGCTCTTACTGCCCATGGGTCCTGTCCCCATGCTATTCCACACTGTTCTCTAAATAAAAGAGCACTACTGCCAGATCTTGAGAGTCCAAGAAATCTTTCTTTCGACTTCTCGGCTCACTGACCCCGCATCAAAATAATAGCAAATTCCACCTCATAGGATTGTTGTGGTTGTGTAGATTAAATGAAATAACATCTATGAACATATATGAACTGCTTTGCAAGATGAATGGCACATAAACCCTCCGTAACTGTTAGAAGTGTCATCACGCATTTGAAGGTCTTTTTAGGATCAGCAAGCAACATCCCTGCAAAGAGTGGATTTTGTTCTTTCTTCGGCTTATAGTTTATTTAACAAATCTACGGTCAGGAGGAGAAACAAAACCCAAGCATCCTGACTCCTTCCGGCAAATCCCTGTTCAGCCCAACAGGACATCTCAGCTCACCGAATCATCCAAACTGTGAAGCGCTAGGGGACAGCATCCACTTTCGGGAGTCACAGAGTTCACTATGATTTTAAAGATTTAAGAGAGGAAAAGGCAATAGATCTCCTGTCTACAATGCCAAGAAAGATTTCACGCTGTCGTCCTCCCCATGAAGGCTCACCAAACATGGCACCTCACAATTTAACTTCCTCCTCACCAATTCAGGCCCCATTTTTCACTCCCTCCCCCAGGAGCTTGTTTACCTGGACTCAGCGGGACTGACCTCTGTGGCTCAAGGGGGGGGTGGTGGCGATGGGGAATCCTGGGCAGGAGTGCATGAAGCAAGCAGGACAAGTGAGCCAGCTCAGAGCCCCAGAGCGCTAAGAAAACAGCAGGCAGCCCCTAACGAGGTCGGGACATCACGGAAGTGTCCTCCTTTTGGCCTCTCCCTTCCCAGTTAGAGCTGGCAGAGGCATTTCTCGTATCAGCCTTTGTACATGAGGCTCCATGGAAGAGTTAATACGCTCATCCTTCTCTGACCAACAAGAGCATTGCCACAGGGATAGAAATCAAATTCCAGCTCAGTCCGTGGCTCACGAAAAGACCTTGGAAAAGTCACTTCACCTCCCTCCCCAGCAATTCAATCCAGGGAACAGGAATCAGAAAGGCATTTGTCAGCCCCCTTCCCATGGTGACAGGTGGATAATATCACCTCCACCCTAAATACCTCGCAGGGATGTGAGAGGATGGATGAGCCAGCATTACAGCCAATATTCTACTCACCAGCAATAAACAACTCACCTTTTGGAGGTAAACGGCTCTTTCTAGGGCACCAGGGGATCATTTAGCACTCTGGAAGAAGTAATTTGCTCTATGGTCCTCTGGTGTCCTGAAAAGTGTAATCCACCTCCAAAAGGTGAACCCTTAACTCCCAGTGAATCTGTTTTCTCACAGTTGGATCAGCCTGCTTCAATGTTTCCAGCTTCAGGAAAAAAGCACCCGCTATCATTTTCCGGTCTCTTCTCTCCCCCCTGCCAGCCCCGTCTCCTTACTGATCGTCCCGTCCTCTCTTCCCCTCAAACAGAAACCAGATGAAACCGTCTGCAAACAACTTGGGAATGCTCAGTGTGTGCCTGGGGAAACTTAAACAAAAATCCTTTCTGGGGCCGCTACCCTCCTCCGCCGCCTCCTCCTCCCTCCCGGGGTTGTTAAGGGCCCGGCGAGTTAATGGGAACTTCTCCTTTCTCCTCCCACCCCCACGGCCCCTCTCCGGGCTGGGTCCTCAGCATTTGATTCCTGTCTGTCACTGAGTGATGAGGACAAAGGGTGAGGAGTCAGGAAAAGGTCTGCGCCACTTTGTTCGGAGTCTGGATGCGAACTTTGGATGAACTCTTCATCAGGGAGGGGGCTGGGGAGGAGAGGAGAGGCCAGCAAGGAGAAATTCGCTGCTCTCTAGGCGCAAGCCTCAAAAAAAAAAAAGGAGAGCGAATTCTCTTTAAACAACAGAAAGGAAAAAAAACGGGAGTTAGGAGGGTAAAACAATCTCCCTCCCGCAGCCCCCTTAGGAAAAAAAGGGCACCGTGGAGGTAAAGAGGGGAGTGCTGAAGAACACAGAGGGCCGGGCACCACTCTCCAATAAGGCTGTGGGCCCATGCTGTGGGCTGCCAGCCAACAGCCAGTTTTGTTTCTTTCCCCTCCAGCCGGTCTCTTTCTCCCTGTGATTTTTTTCCCCCTAAACCAAAGGGAATTCCTAATAAAGCCACAGTAGACTTGTAGAGAGCAAAGGGAAGGAAAAAGTTACCAGGGATGGGAAAAGACAGATCAAACTCATCTCAATCTGAAAGTTCAAAATAAAATACAGGCATGCACGTAAAATCATGGCACCCCTCACCGCATGCACAAATCCACATGTACAGACCCAAAAATGTTTAGTCCCAAGTGTCTTTCTCTTTTTCCCCATCTGTGTACACACATACCGTTTGCATGGAGGGGCTGGTGACTTTTCCTGGGTGGCTTTTCCCCCCAACCCTGTACTGTAGCTTTCAAAAAAGCACCATTAACATAGGGTTGGAACCACTGCAAAAGCCAGTTTGTCTTCTTTGTGCTCAATAAAACCCGGCTAAAACTCTTTCACCTCCACTTACTATTGATTTTTCTATTGTACTCTACAGGCGTGCGTAGCTCACTCATCAGACTGTCTTTCATTCTGTGAACCTCCCTGACCACATCTGGACGTGAGGTTTTTCAGCTCCCAGGGATGGGTATTACTGCTCCATTCAATCATTGTGCGCCCGCATGCAATCATGCAGTCACTTTGGGTCTGGCCTCTGTCCTTTGGTCTTTGCCTCAGCCTCTGGATTTCAATACCCCAAAAATCAGGTGTCCATCCCAGCACGGAGGAATGAGAGGTGACAAGCCCTCCTGCATCCCCAGGGCTCTCTCCCCTCTCCTCTTGCACATCAGAAGTGGGCTTAAGTGACTGGGTGGGAGATTCACACTACCAGGACTAGAAGGGGGTGGGGAGATGTTGCTACAACATCTGGCACTTCGTCTCTCCACCTCTCCTGGGAACACCTCCTGTAGTGTATGTGAGGCTGTTTTCCCGAAGCAGAAGTCCCGAACTGCTGCAAATGGGAGTCTGTGTCTTCGCCTTAACTTCACAAAAAAAACCTGGTGATGAAAAGAGGCAGATCGACGGGCCAATGAGGTGATCAGTCATTAACGTTTGGAGGAACCTGAGTTAGTAGTGAATCTGTGTACTGAAAACCTCTCATTCTGCATTCTATGTATAGGAAAATAAACTCCACCCATTGAACAAGTGCATATGATGTAAGAAAACCAAACACACAAAGATCAACAGCTAACAACAAAAAAAGGCAGATAAAATGTTGCATGAGTATTCACATGACAAACAGGGCTCTTCCCTGTGCAAAAGGGGTGTTCTAGGCCCAGCCCTGGAAGAGACCTTATTAATCATTCAAATGTAACCTCTTCCTTTAAAGATGAGGCAGTCAAGACCCCAGAGTTCAGCAACTTCCCCAAGTCATCATTCCCTGTAATACCCCCATCCGTGTTCTTTCCATCACACATATTGCTTCCACGAAGCTAAGGAGTGTAGTCAAATAAAGTACACAGTTATGAAAACTGGACCCACCTGCTTTTCAGGAATACATCCATACAAAGTGACAGACATCGGTACCCCTTACCTGAAGATACAGCAGGAGCTGTAGCATCCTATGGCCTGGTGTGTGAAACCAGGGAACGTGAAATAGGGACACACAGAGGGCACACACACAAACAAGCCGTACTTGCTATGTCCCTTACGTACTTGGTCATGCACTTCATCCTTAGAACTCAGAGCTGTTGCTGAAATTAGGTGTGGGATTTATGAGGTCGACACTCAAGTTTCATTCTCCATCCCAAATCCTGGTGGACTGTGGCCGCTGTTCTCTCTGCACGCAGGTAACCTCTATTTTCAAGCTCCCCCTGTGTATAACGGTCTCAATACGCCATCATCTAACTCTCAATCACACCTCGCTGTTCAACCCTCGTGGGATCTCCAGCTCCATATTCACTGCATGCCCCACCAATTCTGTGTTCAACAAGATTTCTAAATCTATGCCGTGTTCTAAATCAGCCCTCCACATGCCTGCCAATCTGTGACTCCCTTTTCTGGCTTTGATTTTGCAAGTGGTTGTGACAGTACAGGTTAGAGAAGAAGTCTTAGAGTTGTGTTATAAGCCACTCAAGCTTTATAGTTTACAAAGCATTTTACACCCATATCTCACTGGAGATTCACAACCACCTTGGAGGTGGACGGGGCCAGACTAATGAGTGTAATCAGTGCCCAGATTTCAGATGAGGAAACTGGCCTGAGTGGCAGGCCCCTCGTTTCCAATCTACCCCACAGTAGAACAGGCCCATAACAGTTCCCCTGCATCATGATGCTGCTGCAAATGGGCTTGGATGCTTCCATTTTGCTTTGGAAATGAAGAGGGAAAAACATTTACTGAACACTCACCACGTGCCTAGTGCTGTGTTTGATGCTGGTTCTTACAAGAGGGATAACCATAGCATCTCCACCCATGAGCAGCTTCCTCAAGGCCAGCAATGAAATACATGCACCTGTATCTTCAGTAGATAACACCCTCTGTTCTTCTTATTCCTATCTGTCTGAATACATCAGAGCAATCTCTCCACCAGTGTAAACTCCTAAACATAAGAGGAGGGTGTTGGGTGTACTTTCCTATTTGGTTTGACGTATGGATTTGCCAGTAAGATTATGAGTGATCATCACTATTTATGGTTCTTTCAATATCCTAAAAAATGCTCTAATTTCCCAAGGTGTGAGTCTAGCACATGCTTCTCGATGTCCAGCGGAGTTGTACTGCCAGGTTCCCAGACTTCTTTTCTCTCTCTTTTACTTAGTACTCCAGGAAGAAGTTATTTGTTGAGTATTTGAATGAATGAATGAATCAATGTCTATAAGGACTACTTATTCAAGGGATGTTATAGAAAAGGGATGAGACTATAAATTTAAATTTATTTTGATCATTAACTGCACAAAAGAAAGGGCTCCTTATTCAAGAAAAAGACTACACATGAGCAGAGGATGTCAAGAAAAAAGTTTACAAACCGAAATGCTAAAAGTTTCTAGCCCATAGATTGTTACTAGCTGCCAAGATGCCCAACACAGGGTGAGAGTCTCGGCAACTGAGAAGAGCAGAGATAAGAAGGCAAAGACTGTGCTTCTGCTGAGAAAGAATGTGGAGCAGCCACAGAAAAGAATCAGACAAAGGAAGTGGTTCTAGTGGCCTCCAAACTGAGGCAAAGGAAATACTTAGGACGTTTTCATTTAAATGGACTGGTCCTCAAGGACCTACTAAGCTCCTCAAAGCCCACAGTGAGATTCCTTGTCTAAGACCAACCCCCTCACCCAAGGACAAGGCTAAAGAGGAAAGCCACTCAAGCCAATGCAGGACCCAACAAGGAATGGGGCTGATGAGGAGGGAAACGCATAAATGAGCTTCTTGCTACCCTTCACTCAGCAACATCTGAACTGCACTGGGATTGGGGGAAGGCCATCCCCAGGGAGTGACCCTGAAAGTGACAGCCCCATTTGAGATATCACAGACTCCCACCAGGAATTCTCACTGAGGGAGAAGGGGACTTGTGTGAGGAAGATGGGGGCAATTCTGCCTTTCCGCCTCCCCAAGGACAGGTTTAAATTACACACGCTCACATTGGAAGGGGTGGGGGAAGGGTAGTGTGCCCTGAGAGCCTCCGAAAAAAAATAATTCCCGGGCCTCAGGGTCTACAAACTCTTTCACACTAAAAAAAGAAAAAAAAAAAAAATATCCCACTTCCAACTTCTTGGTTTATTTGTGGTGGTTATTATTATTATTATTTTATTATTATTATCATTATGATGATTTAATGGAGGGGTCCTTTTCCAACATTTCAATTGATCAGATAGAAGGAAAACTGGGCAGAAAATGGGGTCAGGAAGGATGGGTTAGTTAGCCAAGGAAGAGGCCTCTCCCAGAAAAGAGAATGGAAGTGAAAACGTGAATCTGCAAGACAATCGCCACTCTCCTCTCTCGGAAAACTCACAGATGCCCTTATCCTCCCTGTTTTCTCTCCCCTCCTGGCTTAAGAATCCAAACCCAAACTCCAAACAGAGTGAAAAGAAAGTTGGCTTAACTTTTGGGAGAGAGAAGAGAGAAAGGAGGTGACTTTGCAAGCCAATTTGAGGATGGGAAGGTGCCGCAACCTGAGCCACTGACTAATTAAGGCAGCAGCTGCCCCTCCCACTGCTGCCTCTCCTGCTGGAAGGCAGCGTCTAGCCGGCTTCCTAAATCTGATTATCACTTGTTTTTACATGGTTCTCATGTGTCCTCTCCCGGCCCCCGCCCCCGCCGC